TGTCCTGCAACGCCAGCTAGTAAAACAGGTTATTCAGCGGGCAGAAGAGGCTAATGTGGAGTCATTCTTATACGTGGAAAGAATATGAATTTTTCTTCTAGCCACTCCCCTTGATAAGCCTGACGGACGAGTAAGATTGGACAGAGCGGGCTCCGAGGCTGTCAGCTGATGAGTGAAGTCTACGTACATTTCTTTAAGGAAAACAGCAGCCACCGTGCAGAAAGTAATCTTAAAGATCTTCCTTTTGTTCATGTCCGTGGCAACTCTTTGGGATAGTTTGCAGTGTACCTGCTCTGCCGGCGGCCTTTCTCGTATCACGCCCTGTCACACTGCAGCAGCTGAGGTCGCCTAAGGCAGCGGGTTCCCAACCTTTTCGATTTTTGTTGTTCAGTCGCACAGTCGAGTCCGACTCTTCGCGACCCCATGGACCAGATCCCGCCAGGCCCTCCTGTCTTCCGCTGTCCTCTGGCTCAATTTCATGTTCGTTGCGTCGATTACACTGTCCAACCATCTCATCCTTTGCCGTCCCCGTCTTCTTTGACCTTCAATCTTTCCCAGCATTAGGGTCTTCTCTAGTGAGTGCTCCTTTCTCATTTGGTGGCCAAAGTATTTGAGCTTCAGTTTCATTATCTGGCCTTCCAGGGAACAGTCAGGGTTGATTTCTTTTAGGATTGACTGATTTGATCTTCTTGCAGTCCAAGGGACTCTCAAGAGTCTTCTCCAGCACCATAGTTCAAAAGAAACTATTTTTCGGCGCTCGGCCTTCCTTATAGTCCAACTCTCGCAGCCATACATGACTACTGGGAATACCATTGCTTTGACCATGCGGACTTTTGTTGGCAGGGTGATGTCTCTACTTTTTATCATGCTGTTTAGGTTCGCCATCGCTTTCCTCCCAAGGAGCAGGCGTCTTTTAATTTCATGGCTGCTGTCACAGTCTGCGGTGATCTGGGATCCCAGGAACGTGAAGTCTGTCACCACTTCCACGACTTAATTTGCTTGAAACGGCAACTCAACCAAGGCTGGCCCAAGGGATCTTGGCGCCCGAAGCAAGCTATGACCTTGGCACCCGTCTAATTCAGCAGTCTATTTTCTACAGTGGCTGACCAGATGCTTTCGAAGAGGCAAGAAACATAATGCAAAGGGTGCAGTTGCCCCCAGTGAAAACCCCAAGCAAGTACCAAAGCCAAAAGCTGTGCAAAAAGGATGCTAAAGTAGTACAGGCTAACGTACTAAAGGACAAAATATGTATATAAACAATAATATATGTCATCAAAAATATTGATTTACTATAATGCAATGACAAGAAGACAAATTCAACAGGAAAGTTCGTCACAAACAAATACATTCAACAGGTAAATTCATCAAATCAGGCAGGTAAGTCCAAAAAGCACAGCACATTCAACAGGTAAGGCAAACAGATCCACAGAGGATGCCATCACCACTACTCTGCATACTGCCAGTTGTACGGCTGTGGATAGGAAACCACTCCAGAGAGTTACCATCACAGCCCAGAAGATTATTGGCTGCCCTCTCTCGTTCCTGGAGGAATTGTATAGTTCACTGCCACAGGAAGTGGTGGCGGCTACAAGCATGGACGGCTTCAAAAGGGAATTAGATAAGCATATGGAGCAGAGGTCCATCAGTGACTATTAGCCACAAGGTATAGATAGGGGCTCTGGGGCAAGTGATGCTCTGTCATCTTGGTTCTTGGGGGGGTCAAGAGTGGGAGGGCTTCTAATGTCCTGGCCCCACTGCTGGACCTCCTGATGGCACTGGTATTTCTGGCCACTGTGTGACACAGAGTGTTGGACGGGATGGGCCTTTGGCCTGATCCAACATTGGCATCTCTTATGTTCTTATGTTTTCTTATGTTCTCGGTGTTTGAAAAAAGCAAAGAACATTCTGAGGATTTGTCACACCCTGAACACTCCCTGTTTGAACTGCTGCCTTCGAGTAGAAGATATAGGACAATTAAAACAAGGACAAACGGATTAAAAAATAGTTTTTATTCGAGAGCTATTATTGCTTTAAATGCTGCCCGCGATACTCGCGGGAGGGGGGAGGGAGCTCCACACCGAGGAGGAAGAGGAGGAAGCAGCAGGAGGAGGTAAGTTCCCCCCCATCCCGCCGGGGACGCTCTGTCACTTTTCGGGGGATTTTAATATCTCCCCGATAGTTTTTTAAAGTTTTAAGATTTTTGTGCACACCTGGGGACCGTCCCAAGTGTGCACAAAAATCTCCCTTCCCCCCAGGTGCCCCCGAAGCGCGGATTTAGGTATCCGCACACCAGGGGGCATCTTCGGAATTAGATATATAGATTGTTTATATACATATTTTGTTCTTTAGTACGTTAGCCTGTGCTACTTTAGCGTCCTTTTTGCACAGCTTTCTGCTTTGGCTTTTGCCTTTGCTGTGTGGTCTCGTATTGGTTTTTGAACCCCAAGCAAGTGGCATTCCGACTTACACAGCCTTTGCATGTGGAGGTCACGTTTCAGCTTTTGACCACCCTCCGCAACTCCCTCTAATCTCCCCTCAGATTATAAGAAACTCACTCTAGTAACCATCAGAACATGCTGCACTCGATCAACATGCATACGTAGCAAAGAAAATATACCAATGAAATATGACATGGAAAATACTGTTACTAGGGTCAGATCTTGGTTTCCAAAACATGAAAGAGCAATGAAAAGGGCAGGGGCAGCGAGGAAGTGCTGGTCTGCGACCCACTTCCAGAAGCTTTGCAACCCACTTTTGGGTCCCGACCAGTGTTTCCTCTAAGCTGAGTTAGCGTGAGCTAGCTCACGGTTTTTTAGCCTCCGGCTCACACATTTTTGCCTTAGCTCAGGAAGGATGGCTCCGGAGCAAACTGACTTATGCAGTAGCCAAATCGCTCGCTCAGAGCTTTAATGCCGGTAGCCCACAAAGTAGAATTTTTGCTCACAAGACTCCACTGCTTAGAGGGAGCACGGGTCCCAACCCACAAGTTGGGAAACACTGGCATAAAAGAGACTACCAAGGGCACACTGGGCTTTCCCGCTCTGGGTTTTTATTCCAGCTTGGCTTCTTTAACTGCATCAGGCTTCAAGAGAAAGCTCCCTGTCCTTGAGAAAAATGACCACCAAAGGGTGTTTTGAAGACACAAAGAAAGCCTGGGGCGGACGGCTAAAGCCACTTCTCCCCGCACTCTGTGGCTGCAACCAGAAAAGAGCGCAACACTCCCATCACATGTGCGACACCATGTCCTCACGTTGTGCATCAAAAACACGAGGACTTTGTAATGCGCATGTCAGGGCCCCCCCAGCCTTTTAGAGCCTGGGGTTACCTTTGACATTCTGACACAGGGCAGTAGGCGCAATCTCAAAATGTCTGCCACAGGAGGCGAAGCCAATCACAGAGTGTGAGGAAGTGAAGTTATACATAGCTCTAAGTAGCATCTCTTCAACATTTCGGGCAGGAGCTCCGCTTGACAGGACACCAGTGTTCCCTCTAAGCTGAGTTAGGGTGAGCTAGCTCACAGTTTTTTAGCCTCCGGCTCACACACTTTTGTCTTAGCTCATGAAGGAGGGCTCCAGAGCAAACTAATGTATGCAGTAGCCAAGTCACTCGCTCACAGCTTTAATGCCAGTAGCTCACAGAGTAGAATTTTTGCTCACAAGACTCCACAGTTTAGAGGGAACATTGCAGGACACCATTTAATCTGCACATCCAATCAGAAGCCCTGCTGGGCAAAACTGCCACCTAGCCCTGCCCGTTTTCTAAAAGCGCTCGGTGGGCACCAGGGCGCCCACGGGCACCACGTTGGGGACACCTGGTGTAGACAGAGACAGAGCCACAAATTTTCAGTGCAAAAAAAAAAAAGTCTTGTAAATTATTCGTAACGGGGGACCTCTGACCACTCAGAGGATGCTTTGAGCCTCTTCTCCCCACTTGCAATGGCTTCCAAGAGCTAGTAGAGGACAGACATTTTACATGGCTCTACCTGTGCGGGGATCAAACCCCAGATTCCTCCCCCAGGCCTTTACATTACGGATCTGTCTGGCAGTGATCAGGCATAAAGGTCTTGTTGAACGTATTATATGCATATATCATAAATAGATCTATGTCAATCAAAATGACTCACTTGCAGCATTGTTTTTATGCCCTAATTTCTTTTTTTTTAGTTGTGGCTTGAGAGGCATTCAGTGATAACGCTGTGTACTTGGTAGGTGGTGGAGGAGTAAAGGTTAAGGAGCCATGTCCTTAATAGTTCCTTTTAAACTGTTATTCATAGCCGTCAATTTCACTCCCCCTTTCAGCTCTTGGTTTGGCATCGATTCATACCTCCTCGCTTTCTCCTTCCCAGAACGATTACAACCAAACAGAAATCACCTGGTGGACACGATGCCCCCAACTCCAGACAGCTATGTGGTGGTGTCACAAAGCCAATTCAAAGTGAGGGCAATGCTTCCTTGACCTCACTCTAAATGTGCAACTGCGTAGCTAATCGGATTTGGCCACATGACAACCCCTTAGAGCCAATACAGAGTGAAACAAGAGAGAAACAAGTGTATGCAAGTTAAGGGAGGGGCTGTGGCTCAGTGGCAGAGCATCTGCTTTGCATTCAGATGGTCCCAGGTTCAGTCCCCGGTATCTCCAGTTAAAAGGAAGTAGTGGGTGATGTGTAAGACCTCAGCCTGAAACCTGGAGAGTGGCTGCTGGTCTGAATAGATAATACTGACCTTGATGGACCAAGGGTCTAATTCAGTATAAGGCAGCTTCATGTGTGTTCATGCGTATACCAGTCCAGATTCAAGATACAAGGCCAACTCAGAACAGAAGAGGTCCTTTCCTTACCGACATAGTTCTGTTCCAACATTCACAAGCTCTGTGCTGGAAAGATGAGCCCCAGTTTTGCGGAGCAAGGAAATCACTTCTGGATGCCTTTAAGACAGAGTTGGTGGGGGGGGGGGCAAAAGAAAACCAAGGTTATCTTGACTGAACAGATACTTTTTTAGAAGCATACAAAGGACAGGGATTCATTTGCAACCCTCTGATAAACTGGATCTGAGATTTATTTCTCACATTGCGACTGTCCTTCACACAAACGGAACCTTTAAGTCATACATGTGGTGGAAGCTACGTGTCAGCGCCTACTTACCAAACAAACCCAGAAATGTTATGAATCTCTACATACCCATGTTTCAGTCACACAAAGACAATGGCCACACCCCAAATTTCCTCTAGCTTTCATACTCAGCTGAGTTAAACAACAGGGACGGAGAGCTTGCCCATCAATAAAGATTTGTCTGAGGACTCCGAAATCACAAAAAATGGAAGCGGTGGAATGGGTAGAAACCAAACTGTCCTTTGGGGAAGCAGAAGAAGGTCTTCTAGAACAGTGACACAGAGTTAGACGAAGATGGGTCGCCATGTTAGTCTGTCTACAGCAGTAGAAAAGAGTCAGAGTTCAGTAGCACCTTAAAGACTAACAAAATTTGTGGCAGGGTAGGAGCTTTCATGAGTCACTGCTCACTCACAAAAACACATACCCTACCACAAGTTTTGTTTGTCTTTAAGGTGCTACTGGACTCCGACTCTTTTCTAGTGACACAGAGTGTTGGACTGTATGGGCCACTGGCCTGATCCAACATGATCCAGACAGTGACGCAGAGCGTTCAACTGGATGGGCCACTGGCCAGATCCAACATGGCTTCTCTTACGTTCTTATGAGGAAGTTCCAAAGTTTTGGTGCTACAACCTCCTAGGGAGATTTGTCTGTCTCCTTCTATAGTTGTCTTGTGCCAGCAGGTTAAGAGTTTTTAACTGTTACCAGCACTCTTCCCTGGTTTTGGTGTTATGTGCGTTTATGTGTTTTTATTGAACTAATCCATATATGCTGTATTTTAAATATTTTTTTAAAATGTTGAAATAGTTTTAACATTTGCTGCCTTGGGGTGGAAAGGCGGCATATTGATGTTTTAAATAAATAAATAACGACCTGGAGAAACTGCAGATGGCCCAAAGCTCCGGGTTAGTATTGAAAGCGTTCAGAGCTCCGATGGCATCAAGAAAACCCAGAGAGCGCTTGGGTCGGCGAGAAAGAAAGCAAAAACAAACACACACACACTGGCGGCCTCTGTCTCCAAATGCTTGAAACGCGAGGGCTTCGTAAATACTTGTTCTCAGGACGGGGCCTGCACTGTGAACATCTTCTAAGCGGATGCTCTTGTAATGCTGCGAATGCTTTTCGGTGGGTTTTCATGCCCCCCCCCCCAAAAAAGTAACGCATGAGAGGTTTCACGGGGATGGGGGCCCACAGATGCCTTTTTCCAGTCATTTAAAGAACTGCAGGTGTCATACCACACCCTAAACTTGAATGGCCTCATTCTTTGCCTCTCCTGCATAAGGAAACACTGGAGTGACCTCTGACACCAGCCATTACAAGCTTCAAAAAGGAGACTGGTTGTACCGTATTTCAGAAGGAATGGTGATGACTCCAGTTGTACAAAGTCAGGACGGGAGGCGGCTTTTCTCCCAGGCCCTCTAAAATTAATATGCCTGCCAATGAGAGACAGCTTTGTTCTTTTACATGGAGGTGTAAGTGTACTGTAAGCTGCCTTCAGCTCTGTAATGGAAGAAAGGCGGCAGATAGATGGATAGATGGATGGATGGATGGATGGATGGATGGATGGATGGATGGATGGATAGATAGATAGATAGATAGATAGATAGATAGATAGATAGATGATGGATAGATGGATAGATGATAGATAGATATTTAATTTACTTTATCTATATCCTGCCTTTCTCCCCAATGGGGACCCAAAAAGGCTTATATCGTCCTCCTCCATTTTATCCTCACAACAGCCCTGCGAGGTAGGCTAGGCTGAGAACATGCGATTGGCCCAAGGTCACCCAGGGAGCTTCCATGGCAAAGTGGGGATCTGAACCTGAGTCTCCTGGCCCGCCACTTCTGCTGTGACACCATGCTGGCTCTAATCAATGTTTTAAATGAATAAATAAGTATCCAGACGCTGCTTAAATGCACAGAAAGGGGAGCCTTTTTCTGTGGCGACACCCTGTTCACCTGGAACGCCCTTTCGGGAGCTCAGGGAAAGCGATCCTGCTCACCTGAGCCATCGGTTGTTAAAGTGTTTTGCGTGTGCACAGGTATGTGGGGGCAACAGGGGTTGTTTGCGGGGGGGGGGTTAATCAGTTCATGCCGTCCTTGCTTTAGTGTAATGTCAGTCAAGGCCTGGATAGCCCAATCTCATCAGATTGCAGAAGCTAAGCAGGGTTGGACCTGGTGGCTGGTATCTGGATGGGAGACCTCCGAGCGATACCAGGGCCTTGACGTGGAGGCCGGCAACGGCAAACCCCACCTCTCAACATCTCTTGCCTTGGAAACTCTACGGGGGTCGCCGTAAGTCAGCTGCGACTTGACAACCTTTTCCACCGCCAGGTCAGGGCGGAAAGGCAGTGTAGACGTTTTCCTAAACGGACAAACGTGTTCGGCAACGTGTTTGGTTTTCCCAGAACAGTTACCAAAAGGACATATCCACACGGACGGAAGAATGGAAAAGTTGCACCTTTTGTTTATTTATACCCCACTTTGCTCCTGAATGGGGACCCCAAAACAGCTCACAGCACTGTTCGCCTTTCCTCCACTTTCTTCTAACAACAACCCTGTGCGGTTTTACCCCTTTGGCCATGCTTATTTACTGATAATCTTACAACTGTTCAATATTTTCTCAATTATGTTAATACTGATACTACGATGATGGTTGCAAAACTCTTAGCGGAATCAGCCGCACTTAGATACAGTCTTTTTACATAATATTGTAATCAATGTTCCCTCTAAGCTGAGTTAGGGTGAGCTGGCTCACAGTTTTTTAGCCTCCAGCTCACAGATTTTTGTCTTAGCTCAGGAAGGAATGCTCCAGAGCAAAGTAAATTATACATTAGCCAAATCGCTTGCTCACAACTTTAATGCCAGTAGCTCACGAAGTGGAATTTTTGCTCACAAGACCACACAGTTTAGAGGGAACATTGATTGTAATTGAATTTTTAAACTGGTTTTATGGGAATGAATGGTCATTTACAGACCAATTATGTAAGCCGCCCTGAGCCCGCTCGCGGGGAGGGCGGGGTATACATTAAATTAATAAATAAATAAAATAAATAATATGCATATTTGATTGCCTAAATTTACTTACTGGAATTAAATGCTTCTTCTTAAATGTATTTGTTAGATGCTGTTATGCCATTAAAGGCGTCCAGAACTGAATCTGAACAACCCTGTGAGGACAGTTAGGCTGAGAAAGCATACTGGTCCAGCCTTTCCTAAATGAGCTTCCAGGGCAGAGTGGGGATTCAAACTTTGCCCTCCCAGATCAGAGCCCAGACCGCAGCCTCCCCTCCAACCACTACAGGGGAGGGCAAATCTTTTACATGCTTCCTTTGTCACAGCCCCATGGCATCTATCTGCGGAGAGGCTGCCTGGCATATCGATGCGTGGCATGAAACACTCTAACCTGACCTCCTTCCAAATCGGTCTTCACGGTGGGAAGGAATTTCTGCCATCTCTCCGTAGCAGACTGGGTCATGCATAGCTTCTTGCACAGCGATGCAACACCTGTCCTCAGGAGGGGTGCCCAGAACAGTGACTCGTGCAGAAGCAGCAAGGGTGAACTCCTCTCAGAGAATGCACTTTTTATACTTACACCCCCTAAAACAAACCATTTCAGGATATAAGGGAAGACTGGGCTTCCGGTTTTAATTCAGATATAAAGTGTGACTCAGCCATCAGAGATTTGGAAAACACTGCCACGGAGGAAGGGTAGAAGTCCTTCCCACTCTAGTATGTGGTTTGGCTCACTTCACTAGAAGCTCCCTGCATGGCGGATCTTGTTTGCGCTTGACATTCCCTCATGTGAATTGTGTGGGTTAAACATGGGGGGGGGGGATGATGTGCGCAAATAACCTGGCCTTAGTTTAAGAAAATGGATTTGCAGCAAGAACAGGGCAAGGGAAGTTACGATCTGGCTTGTTTCGTTGTGTGATCACTCCCACGAGCGATCCAGGATCCCTGTTTGTTGTGCTATGGATCGGGCAGTTCGTCCAAAATTCCTGCTTTTCTCTGTTGATCGCACTACGGTCTAACCTGAAGGGGCAGAGGATAAAGGCCAGTTCAGGTGGCTGGAAATGGACCTGGGAATATGGGCAGGACTTATTTTTGATCAGGTGAACTGGCCATCTGTCCTTGTACGATAAAAATAAACCCATTAGGAATGTTAATGCAGGATACGTTACCTATAGATATGTGTAATTAAACAGAAAAAATGTGGAAGAAGAAGATCTAAGAATTGAACAGGAGGTTGGAGCACTGTGGGAAGCCGCACGGGGGGTGGGAGGGTGGAGGGTATGATGGATTAGGGTAAAAGTTGTGATTTATATTTGACTATGTTTATTATATCCTAATAAAAATGGTTTTACCAAAAAATCCAGGGTACAAAACCTGGACTGGCATGCCCCCACCCCCAATTCATTCCTCCAAGCTCTGCACCTTAATTCTACAGACCGGCTATTTTTGCACCGCTTCGACCCTAGCCTGGATAGCCCAGGCTAGCCCGATCTCGTCAGCTAAGCAGGGTCGGCCCGGGCTAGTATTTGGATGGGAGACCCGCTAGGGAATAGCAGGGTGGTGGCACAGAGGCGGACAATGTCAAACCACCTCTGAAACGCCTCTTGCCTTGAAAACTCTATGGAGTCGCCGTAAGTCAGCCACGACTAGACGGCAAAAAAAGAATATTTTCTGCTGCTCACGATTCTCCCCCTCTGTAGAATTAATTCCGCAGCTCACTTGCATCGGCGGTGGCAGTAGCTAAACCAATTCCATACGATTCATTCAATTCCACTTAAGAGCTTTGCGGCAAAGTCTGCTGGCAGGGCAGGCCCGGAGCGATCATTACCGCCTCTACGGAGAACTGACAACAGGGTTCGCTCGCCCCTCTCAACCTGACAACGGCATAAACCTGAACCGTAAACAAGGATTCGTTTGCCAACTCTTCCCTCCCCCCCACCCCGCTTTCGGCAGCTTGAAAGCAATCAAGAGCCCCAGTAGGAGTCTCTGACGGGGAGTGGTGAAGCCAAAGAATCTGAATAACAAACTCATGTGAAATTCCTCAGGCAGTCACTGGGTGCGGCTAAAACACACACACACACACACAAAACGCACAGCTGTTTGCAGAAACATCTTACACAGGCGTGCTGGATGGGGGCCACCTCTGTTCCGCAACGAGTCTTGTTTGATTGGCTCTAGGGAATGGTAGGAGATTCTTGCGAAATTTCCTCCCAACAGCACGGCGAACCATCCGACTGTCACTGTGACGACTGAAGATTTTGGTCCCCAGCTGACTTGGCAGACCCTTCCCAATGTGTGTATGTGTGTGTGTTAAGTGCTGTCAGATCAATTCTGAATCGTGGAGACCCTATGAATGAATGACATCCAAAACATCCTATTGTCAGCAGCGGCCCGATCTGCATCTAGCATTTGCTCCGCTGTCTTACCAAACCCACGCTGGAACAGAGATTCCCCTCCGCATTGCATGCCACTTTCACCTCGATTGATCGTCGGATTTTATGGCAGTGTCCGCTGGAACAGAGATTCCCCTCTGCATTGCATGCCACTTTCACCTCGATTGATCGTCGGATTTTATGGCAGTGTCCAGACTGCAAGCCACTTCCATTTCGTTTGATCGCTCGGTTTTACGGTAGCCGTCTGCATAAGATTTGTTGGCCGTTTTATGGCCATTCACGGGTGACTCTGCAGTCAGTATGGCATTGGCCCCGGGGTATTTGAATGTGATTTTGAGCTGCATTTTTTTCTGTTCCAATGTGGGTTTGGTAAAACAGCGGAGCAAATACTAGATGCAGATTCGGCCGCTAGCATTGCTCGGGTCTTGCAAACCGAGGGCCGTGGCTTCCTTGATGGAATCAATCCATCTTATGTTGTTGTTATTACTACTACCGCTATTATTATTATTATTATTATTATTATTGATGATGCTGATGATGATGATGATGATAATTTTTGATTTATATCCCCTTTCCTGGGTCTTCCACAAGGCAAAATGCTAATCAAGGAACTCCTGTGCCAGTTGAGGCCAGAACACCCGCTAAAGGCATCCAACACGGTACTTAAGGAGAAAACTTTGCTTACTTGGAATGCCATTAGTGTGGAAGAAGGGGAGAAAAAATATAACTAGCCTGAACACATACTGAATCAGACCTTGTGGTCAGACCCAGTGTTCCCGTTAAGCTGAGCTGGTGTGAGCCAGCTCACAGTTTTTTAGCCTGCGGCTCACACATTTTTGTCTTAGCTCAGGAAGAAGGGCTCCAGAGTAAACTAATTTATGCAGCAACCAAACTCACTCGCTCACAGCTTTAATGCCAGCAGCTCACAGAGTAGTTTTTGCTCACAAGACTCCAAAGAATAGAGGGATCCTTGGTCAGACCTTATACTGAATCAGACCTTATGGTCTCTCAAAGTCAGTATTTCCTGCTCTGATTGGTAGCAGCTCTCCAGGAGTTCAGGCAGAGGTCTTTCACATCACCTGTTACCTAAAACTTGTAAGTGGAGAGGCTGGGGGTTGAACCTGGGACCTTCTGCATGCCAAACAAATGCTCTGCCACTGAGCCACAGCCCTTCCCCAGCTAGCAGAGGCAACTGGCAAAAAATCATCTTCCCCTGCTCTGCAAATGGAAAAGCCACTCTGCCGTAGGGACTGCTGTTGCTCAGTGCTTAGTTCTTGTGGCCCTTTCTTACACGCCCAGGGAATGCTGATTGCCACTTTGGGGTCAGACACCAATTTTTCTCCAGGCCAGTTTGGCTGGAGATCTTGGAGGTTTTTTGTCATCTTCTGGGTGTGGAAGAGGGGTCACTCTGTGTGTATGTGGGGGGGGGGAAGGATTTGTGAATTTCCTGCATTGTGCAGGGGGTTGGACTAGATGACCCTGAAGCCCCTTCCAACTCTATGATTCTGTGTTTATCTACTCATGTCTACATGTGAAGTTGCCTTGGACCATCAGTGTCAGTACTGCCTACTCAGACTGGCCATGACTCTCCAGGGTCTCAGGTGGAGGTCTTGCACATCACCTGCTACCTGATCCCTTTAACAGGAGATGCTGGGAACTGAACCTGGGACTCTCTGCAAGCCAAACAGATGCTCTGCCACTGAGCCACAGCCCCTCCCCGACTAGCACTGATAGGGCAGGTAGGTCCCAGATATAAAGCTGCACAGACAATTTTAGATATGTTATAAATCTGATAGGACATAGTTATGGAGAACAGGTCCATCAATGACTACGAACCATGATGACAAAAGGGAACTTCCATATTTGGAGGCCGTAAACCTCTGAAACCCAGTGATGGGAGACAACATCAGGGGAAAGCCTTGGGCTCTGTGCTGTTCGTTGGCCCTCGAGGGCAACTGGGTGGCTGCTCTGTGAGACAGGATGCTGGACTAGATGGACCACAAGTCTAATCCAGCAGGGCTTTTCTTATGTTCTTATGGGATAGCTGCTGTGAACAGGTTTCTAGATTCCTTCCTTAAAACAAAAGCTTTGCAGATTGATGAATGAAAAATTACACACATGCACACATTTTTTCCATAACGAATTCTCACTGTTGAGTCTCTGCAGAATTCGGAGTTTCTTGACAAGATCTAGGAGAGGACGAACGGAACGCCT